CGCACTTGTGCACAAGGGTACATTAATTTTGTTCACATAACGGTTGTTTGTAACAGCCAAAACGAATCGAGATAGATATAGACAAATGTATACATAAATGATCAGGATGAAAAAAGAAATCGATTAAGCCATGTCTGTCTGTCCGTCTGTCCGTGTACACGATAACTCGAGCAAAAATTGAGATATCTCAACGAAATTTGGTATGTAGGTTTCCCTTAATCCAAGGTAGGTTGGTATTGAAAATGGGCGAAATCGGACTTTAACCACGCCCACTTCCCATATAACGGTAATTTCCAGAAATACGAAAACTGCGATATTTTAGTAACTACTGAAAATAATTCACTCAAAATTGATATTTACAATAATTTTTAGACGAAAAATAAGAATATTATAAATTTTTGGAAAATGGGCGTAGCCACGCCCACTTATAGTTACATGTGTATATCTTGGTAACCGCTGCACCAATTTCTTCCAAACTTGGCACAGTTGGCCTTCGCATAGCATACCAAATGGCTCAACAACCACGCCTACTTCCCATATAACGGTAATTTTCAGAAATACGAAAACTGCGATATTTTAGTAACTACTGGAGATTATTCACTCAAAATTGATATTTATAATAAGTTTTAGACGAAAAATAAGAATATTATAAATTTTTGGAAGATGGGCGTAGCCACGCCCACTTATGGTTACATGTGTATATCTTGGTAACCGCTGCACCAATTTCTTCCAAATACAAAATCTTCGATAAATCATTAAATATTGAAGCTAATTTATTCAAAATTGATGCTTGCAACAATTCTTTACCAAGAAATACGTTTATGGTAAAATTTTGGAAAATGGGCGTGCCACCGCCCACTTATGATCACATATAAGTATATCGGTAACCGTTCTACCAATTTGTACCAAACTTGGTATGGTTATTGTACTTGCCACGTGTAAGCAAAACGTTGAAAATTATTGAAATCGGACTAAAATAACGGCCGATTCTCATATAACGGTAAATTTAAGAAATGCTTGAAACTTCAATATTTCGAAATTGAAGGACGCTAATTTACTCAAAATTGATACACCTCGGCTTACCATCTAGCGGAAGGTTTCGGAAGGGTGAAAAAACATATATTTAATACTTGCGCCGGGCAAGTTCGGCTCCGCCCGAACTTAGACTTTCTTACTTGTTTTAATACTGTTTAATCCTGCCTTGTATGAAAATGTATATAGCAGGGGTGGGCAAGGCCGAGGCCGAAAAGAGCCACATCTAAGTTCTAAATGCTACAAAGAGCCACCAAAAAAAGAACAAGAAAAACAAAAATTTAATTTTTAAATAAAATTATTATTAGAAATGAAAAACATTCTGCCTTATCCTGAGTTTCGCCTGAAAAAAAATTCACCCGAAAATTTGTCATCCGCCCATAGTAAAACCATGGAAACCAAAAGTGAAAGGTGAACCAGTTCGGGGAAAATGAAACTCATGATAAGGCTGAATAATTTTATTAATACTCTATTGTACGTAAGATAGATATAAAAGAAAATTCAAAAGATCCCTTTGGCGAGATTTTCAAAATCTGGTTTTAGGTCAGTTAAAGCCGTTCGTAACAATGCTGTTAAATGTTGGATAGTCAATAGGTACGTTCGTTTAAAATCTCCAGTAAAAAATGTCCAACAGCGAAATTCCGGCGAAATATCCTCTGTTCTCTCACAAGAGAAAAATATCCAAAATAGTACGCGAGCAGAAAATTTGCAGAAACTTGCAAGTTAGACGAACAGCTGATTTTGTTTACATTAACAGGTCTATTCTGTACGTTACCGAAGATTTTGTGACCGAAAAATTGTATTACCAAAAAATGTTAGCACTTCTTGTCACCGCGATTCTATGTTGTTAATGCAATGAAAATATTAGCAACTCAGCTATGAAGATTTGTGGAAATTCCTGTATTGCATATTTCACGGGGCAATATTTTGCTACCAGCTTATGAGATGGTAACCAAATTCACTGGTTACAAGAGAACACAGAATGCGAAAAAGGTTTAAAAATTGACAGACACTTTAAATACCGGTTATAAAATTTATGTTAGCAGCGCAGAATAGACCTGTAAAAAGTATAAAATTGAAAACGTAAGAAAACAAATCCTGAATTCTTATCCTGACACAGTTCACTGACTAAACGAATAATTACTTATTTCTTACAAGTTTAATTAGTAGCATTTTACTATTTCAACTTCCAAACCATCAAATTCAGCTCTTCTTGATCAGCTTTTATCTTGTTGGCAAACTGCTGAGGGCTAAAATATGTATTTATATGTATAATATGTATGTATGTATGTAAAATATGTATGTATATGTGTAATATGTATGAAATATGTAGTTTAAAAAGTTAAAAGAGCAAAAATGTTCTAAGCAAGGAGAAAGTAAAAAGAGCCGCACTTTGCTAAGCATTTGGCTCAAAGAGCCACGACGTTTGCCCACCGTTGGTATATAGATTTTTAATTAGATAATTGTTTAATAAATTTTACTATAGCAGGAGCTTGTAAAATTCGGAAAATCTCTTCTCTTATATACAATGTAAATAATAATGCTGAATATGTTGCATGTGTTCCTTTTGTTGACATGCATAAATTTGATGCACGAATTGATTTGAATTTTTTCGGCAATGTCTTAATATATCGCTTTCAAACAACGAAACGTTGTTTTTTCCCCATACAAAATACATGGAAAACTTTGAGCGCTGTGAGCACTCCCTAAATATTTTTTGATTTCAAAATAAAACAAGTAAGAGCAGCGCTGTTTTCGGCTATGCCGAAGGCTTCATACCTTTCATGAATATCTACAAATTTTACATTGACAGATTATTGCTTTTGAATACATCTGCATACATCGATAGAGGAGTTACATATTTATATAAAAAATCGCATCTAAACAATCAGATGTATGGAAGATATACCTTATATGAGCACCAATCTAAGTGATTTTCACGGCTATGCGATCGGTATGTAAACCGGTAACACAATTTATTGGGTTTAGTTTCCCACATAAAGGAGATATATCGCAAAAACTGGTATCTGAACAATCAGTGGTATGTTATAGTCACCCGATCCTTGTTATTTTCACTGTAAATATTCTGTTGATAATGAGTGAAAACAGCGCGAAATTTCATGTTCCTAGCTGCATAAATGGAGGAGTTATAATAAAAGACCTCATATCTGAACAATCAGTTGTATGGGGGCTGCAGGTTATAGTGACCCGATCTTTGTTATTTTCACTGTAAGCCTTCTGTTGATAATGAGTGAAAACAGCGCGAAATTTCATGGTCCTAGCTACATAAATGGAGGAGTTATAACGAAAAATCTCATATCTGAACAATCAGTTGTATGGGAGCTATAGGTTATAGTTACCCCATCCTTTTAATTTTCACTGTAAGTTTTCTGTTGATAAGTATTGAAAACAGTGCGGAATTTCATGTTCCTAGCTATATAAATGGAGGAGTAATAACGAAAAATTATATATCTGTATAATCAGTTGTATGGGAGCTATAGGTTATAGTGACCCGATCTTTGTAATTTTCACTGTAGGTATTCTGTTGATAATGGGTGAAAACAGCGCGAAATTTAATGTTCCTAGCTGCATAAATGGAGAAGTTATAACGAAAAATCTCATATCTGAACAATCAGTTGTATGGGAGCTATATGTTATAGTGGTCCGATGCTTCCGGTTCCGACAAATGATTAATACATTATAAAAATACACCCACCTACAAAATTTTATCCGCATATCTCGAAAACTGAGAGACTAGATTGCATACAAACAGACGGACAGACAGACAGACGGACAGACGGACATGGCTAAATCGACTCAGCTCGACGTTCTGATCATATAAGTATACATTTTAATGGGTCTATCTCTTTTTATTCTGGTACTTACAAACATCGGACCAAAGTTATAATACCATTTCATGCTCATGAAAGGTATAAAAATAGGGGTATATTTATTTTCGGTTCAGAACAATCCTAGGGGGTGGCGGCATTAAAATTCCGACTTTATTATTTTGGACCACTCTAATGTGCATACATTAATACATTCATTCATATGAACGTATATATGTATGTATATGTGACCTGGTCTACGAAAAGGGAGCTTACGTGCGAAAACTAGTTTTCTGTGAAAAAGCTGTTAAAAGTAAGCAACTCGTTTCGTCAGTTTCTCATTATCTTGTTAATTGTTCTCCGCGCCGGACATCCAGTAAGCGTTGTTGTTGGTCCAGTAAGTGTTGTTGTTGGTCCAGTAAGTGTTGTTGTTGGTCGGAATATTATTATAGTTCATCGTGTAAGTTGCTAGTGTGGAACATTTAAAAAAGTAACACTGAAGAAGTGACGTTTACTGTTTCTGTTGATTATCGTCTTCGCATTTCGCATGAAATTAAACATGAGTGTTGATGAGGAGTTCAGTGCCGTATACGGACAATATTTCCATGAAAAGGATGATGAAAACTATGAAGAGAGCGATGATGATGAAGACGAAGTATGTGTATCTCAGGCAGAAGATGATACCGAACAAACTTTTGTTAAGATGGACCCGTATGTTGTTGATGTAAAGGAGGAGGAGCTGGTAACAAAATTTCTGTCAAAAGATTGTTGTAATAATGAATGCCATACACTGATACCACCGGAAATGATCGAGAGTACGCGGAACAATTGTTTAGAGATGTCGAAAAATGAACATGATTTAGTGATACTAAGTCACATCGAAGCTGGAATTATGAGTAACGAAAAGCTAGAAAGTGTATACGCAAAGCTTGCTGGGCGGAAGAAATATGGACAGAGACAGGATACAGAAGTTATGAGGCATAGAATTCAATTTACCTTCTACAGAGTACCTGTTTGTCGTTCGTTTTTCCTTTTTGTACATGAGCTTTACGAAAATTTAGTACCGAGTACACATCCAAAGTCATTTAAACCGGCTGACATCGAAAAAGCTGTTAAATTCATCGAGTCTATAGCCGATTTAATGGCTCTTCCACTGCACGGACGACTCCCAAAATTTAAGGATTTTCGGATAATGAAACTGCCATCCAGCGAGACGAAGTCCTCAATTTATCGAAAATACATTTCTTCACTCAGTGATGACGAATTGAAGATGAGTAATTGCAGTTTTCGACGGATATGGTCCAAATACATACCCCATGTTACAGTTATGAAACCAGCGGATGATCTCTGCGATGTCTGCCGTGGTAAGTAGCTCATTATTTTCTCATTTTATAGTTGTATCAAACGTTGAGATTAAATTCAGTATTTTTTCTTTTAATAGGAAACACAATATCGATTGCGCAAGCCAAAGGTGTTACTGACATTGAACGCGCGCAGAAGCTTAATCAATTTCTTGATCACCTCCACCGAGCCCGAAATCAACGAGAATATTATCAAAGTTGGTGTAGAAATACTGACCCTACAGCAGTCGTTCTGTCATTTGATTTTGCCCAAACCGTTCACTACCCTGTCAGTCCACAACAACCTGGTACAGCATACTTCAAAGCAACCAAGAAGTGCGGAGTCTTCGGAATTACAGACGAAAAACAAAAAGTTCAGGTTAGAATTTCAAACTGAATCATAGGAACTCAAATTGCTCGCCTTTACAGGATCTTACTTATATTTTTTTTTTTTTACAGTACAATTACATGATAGACGAAAAAGATGACGTTGGTAAAGGACCTAACTGTGTTGTGAGCATCCTGCATTATCACCTGCAAACCTACTATAAAGACATTGAAACACTCGTTCTTTTCTGTGACAATTGTGTTGGGCAGAATAAGAATAACACTCTACTATCATATCTGCAATGGTGTTTGGCTCGGGGTCTTAACAAAACTATTTTATTCAATTTTCTACTTACCGGGCACACTAAGTTCGCGCCTGATCGTTACTTCGGTATTTTCAAAAGTAAGTATGCCGTCAGTAACATCGACACGTATGAAGATTTACTGCAGTGTGTCGAGGCATCATCACCTCGGGGTTATAATAAAGCTGTATCGGCTGAAATAGTCGTCTGGTATGAATGGGACAGCTATTTTAAACCACTGTACAAGTCACTTGTTGGAATAACGCAATTCCATCATTTCATAATCTCTACAGATTGTGTAAAAACAAAGAAATTCGCAGACAGTGAGGAAGTGCAGTACTTTAAGCTTCTGTTAAAACCTATCGATCCTGAAATGCCGAAAGTTATACAACCAGCCGGTTTATCTTTGGAACGTCAGTGGTACATCTATCACAATCTTCGCAGCTTAGTTTCGGATATATCTAAAGTAGATATTGTGGCTCCATTGCCGAAAGATTTGCCATCGAAGAAACGGAAGGCAAAAACTAGTGAAGATGTTCTCAAACCAGACGAGGAACCAGGTCCATCTTCCTCAGGATCAACACGTAAAAAGATCTCAAGGAAAACGACAACAAAGAAAAATACATAAACTACTCAGCATTATTATTTTTGGCCCATAATACGTTTTTCTAGTGTATAATCATATCTTTATAGCTTATAATTCAATGTATTTTGTTCATTACCAATAAATTATATTTTGTCGTATTTTTACTCTTCTTTCTCTACATTTTTAGTACACTTCTAAGCAAGTTAGGATTTTCTGCTTTTCACCACGTGAAAAAGCATCTCATCTTCCATCCGAATCAACCAAAAAGTGAAAATTGATTTTTTGACACCTAAGCCCCCTTTCCGTAGACCAGGTCACATATATATATATCTTACAAAAGTTTAATTATATTATTTTTAATAAGAAAACAACAGCCGCTAGGGCTGCATTCGAAACCTGGTTCGAGCAACATCTGAATTAGAACAGATTTTTTCTAAGAGCGGTCGCCCCTTGGCAGGCAAGGGCAAAGCTTCAAGTGTATTTCTGTCATGAAAAGGCTTCTTATAAAAACTACTTGCCGTTCGAAGGCGACATAAAACTGTAGGTCCCTCAAGACGCACACCGAACATGGATGAAGCACCCACACGAAAGCGAAGGCATACCCGAGGACGAAGATGAATACGATGACAAATGACGACGAACCCGAAAGGAATACGAAGACGAATGCTGAGGCAAGACGAACATTGAGACGAATATGAATAAGAACCGGAAGAAGAGGACGGACTTGAAGGCGAACACGAAGATAAATACGAACACGAGGAAGAGCCCAACAAAGAGCAGTGCAGGGAGTAATTCAAAGACGAACAGTGTGAAGTGAACTAAAAATGAATGGAAGTATGGTGGCCCACCGTACTCCTTTTTCGCCTATTGAATAACAAATGACGCTGGTATAATATTAAATTGCAGAAGATACGGGCCATGGAAAATATTTATTAGCTGATGGTTATTGTGGGTCCACTTTTCGTGCTCTATATTTTGTATTTGTATTGATTTATTAAATTCAATTCAGTAAAATCAAAACTAATATTTTATGTACATATGTACATATTATATATATTGCGATAAGATAAATAAGAATTATGTTTATGGAGAGTTATGATCCTGAGCCCGTTCGTGGGCCGAAGGCCCTCGCATGACAGCGACCGGGTAATACGGTAAAACCCTCATTCTAACAGGCCTTTGGAAGTAGACCTTAAAAATCTCTGTTACCTAATACCCTATTTCCACATCAATGATAAAACTCTTCGGCTGCCTATTGTCTTTACTATAATAATATAATAATAGATTGGCATGGTAATATGTAGTACTAGGTTCCAGCATAAGAACATTCACTAAGCTACATGGCTGTCTCCAGATCCAAAAAAGAGAAACCAAACCGACCACGTTGTGATAGACGGAAGGCATGCTTCCAGTGTTTTAGACGTACGTACACTTCAAGGGCCAGACATCGACTCGGAACACTATCCTATTGTAGCCAAGATACGCACCCGTATATGTGCACCAAAAAATGTGCGCCCTACAATGCAAGGAAAGCTTAACGTCGAAAAGCTGCAATCACAATAGACGGCCAATTTATTTGCCACTCGACTCACACACCTGCTCTCTGAGAGCATTCTTCAACAATCCGGCATAAGCGACCAGTGGAACCACATTTCCCGATCATTAAGTACCGCCGCCGAAGAAGTAGTTGGATTTCAGCGAGCCCGAAAGAACAACTGGTACGATGGGGAATGTCAAGAAGCCGCAGAGAGAAAAGACGCCGCCTATAGGGTCACGCTGCGATCGGGCACAACGCAAGCCGTCCCACATGGCTATAGGGAACTGAAGAAGGAAGCAAGACGTATTTACCGCAATCAGAAGAGAGACGCCGAAATACGTGAGTGCGAAGAGCTTGAAATGCTAGCCGACAGGAAAAACGCCCGAAAATTTTACCAGACAATTAGGCGACTTACGGAAGGTTTCAAGACCAGGGCGAACTCCTGTAAGAACAACAACGGCGACCTTATGACCGATTTCCAGAATGTACTTAAATTATGGAGGGAAAACTTTTCCACCCTACTGAAACGCTGAAATTAGTGGAGAAGACGACCTTAGCCCCCAGTCGGTGACGATGGAGTCGATGTTCCACCACCTGACTATGACTAGATGCGAAAAGCGATAGCGCCCTTGAAAAACAACAAAGCTGCTGGAGCTCACAGCCTGCCAGCTTAGCTATTCAAGTACGGTGGCGAGGAGTTGATAAGGTGCATGCATCAACTCTCATGCAGAATATGGTTAGCTAAACGCATGCCCGACGACTGGAATTTAAGTGTGCTCTGCCCAACCCACAAGAAAGGCGATCCCGCCATTCGCGCCAACTACCGCGGAATCAGCCTACTAAGCATAAGTTATAAGGTTTTATCGAGTGTATTGTGCGAAAGACTGCAGCCCACCATCAACGAACTGATCAGTGTGGCGTTAGGCCTGGCAAATCAACCATAGATGAGGATTCACAATACGCCGAATCTTGGAAAAGATCCCGCGAGAATAAGATTGACACACACCATCTATTTGTCGATTTCAAAGCCTCTTTCGATAGCACGAAGAGAAGTTGTCTTTATGCCGCGATGTCTGAATTTGGTATCCCCGCGAAACTAATACGGCTGTATAAAATGACGTTGAGCATTACCACCAGCTCCGTCAGAATAGGGAAGGACCTCTCCGAGCCATTTGATACCAAACGAGGTTTCAGACAAGGTGACTTCCTCTCGTGTGATTTCTTTAATCTGATGTTCGGAAAAGATAATAAAAGCCGCAGAACTGAACTGCTCAGGCACAAAACTTTAAAAGAGCGTACAATTGCTGGCGTATGCCGACGACGTCGACATTATCAGTAAAAACGGGAGCTACGTCTGTTCTGCCTTCTCGGGATTGGATAGAGAAGCAAAGCGAATGGGTCTGGTGGTGAACGAGGACAAAACGAAGTATCTCCTGTCATCACACAAACAGTCAGAGCATACGCGTCTTGGCACCCACGTCACTGTTTGATAGTCACAAGTTTGAAAAAGTAGACGACTTCGTTTATTTGGGAAGCAGCATTAACACCAATAATAATGTCAGCCTTGAACTCCAACGGAGAATCACTCTTGCCAACAAGTGCTACTTTGGACCGAGTAGGCAATTGAGAAGTAAAATCCCCTTTACGCGTTGGCGATGGCGAATGCCGGGCATTGTCTGCCAAGGGGCAACCGCTATTAAGAAACAACTTTTTCTATATTTTTTTTGCGATGTTGCTTTGACCAGAGCTTGAGCCCAGGCCCTGCTGAGTGGAAGCGCCCACTACCCCTAAAATTATGCCGAAAATTGATTTTAAGCGCTTAACAGGCCTATTCTGCTTGTATCCGCACATTTTGTAACAAGCTAATTTTGTTACCAATGATTGTCACCACTTCTTGCAACCGCAATTTTATTTACCTTGGTAACATTTTAATTTATTCAGCAATTCAGCTATGGAGTTTTGTTTAAATTCTGGTGTTGCATATTTCACGGGGCAATATTTTGTTACCTGCTCATGAGATGGTAACAAAATTTACCGGTTACAAGAGTGTGGAGAATACGAAAAGGGTTTAAAAATTGACAGTAACTTTACTAACCGGTAACAAGATTTTTGTTACCAACGCAGAATAGGCCTGCTAATGGTGACAAATGTTGCTGTTATTATTATAACCTATTGACGCGACAATGACGAAACAATATTTATATTGTATATTTTGGGCGAAGTTATTAAAACAATTGTTATACCATGAATTTTGTCAATGATGTGGGAATAGGGTTGATACACAATTTTTTCAACGATCAAGCAAAAATAACCAGTTAGTATCAAAATTCTGTTACTATAAAATTCGACACACGAAATTCTAGTATATTTTATTACAGAATTTTATAATTTTCTATTGCACTTACAGGTAGAGCTTATTTTCACGAAAAGCCAAATTTCCAGAAAGAAATATAGAGTGCGTAGGCAACTGGCTGAGTCAGTGGTGAACGTCGGTTCGAATCCTACTGAAAGAAGTCTGATGAGGAAATGTGGTGATTTCCGAAATAGCTATCACATGTACCATTTTTTCCAATTATTGTTGCTTTTCCACAACAAGTTTTCACTTTAAACGGCCTCAAGCTCATAAAAATTGTTGAATATATAGAGAAAGAGTGAGAGAGAAAAACAAGTTATTAAAAAATAAACAGCTTAGGCGAGCTATTAAAATAGAAATGACTTAATCGGCTAAAGGGTGGAGAAGCCAGATGCCAATTATTAGAAGGAAGAACACACTTACAGAGCATCATGCATAAAAAGTGAGCTTTAGCTCCGACTCGATTTTCGGTACAAATTATTGCATTTGAGCTCAACTCATCATTGAAAAAACTAAGTGAGAGCTTAAGCCTTTAATGCATGAGGCCCAATAAATAATTACACAGTATTCGTTTAGAAGTTCTAAGGCGGAGTCAAAAGTTTCAAAGCCCCAGATGAGGTAAATGGTACCTGT